ATTGAATAGTCACATCATTATGATACATCGAACATTTTTCAAGCGTCATACGTATAATGTTTCAAGTTTTAAAATGCATTTTTATTGTTTTGTCTGCAATAATTTTTCACCGTGTTTCGGTGATCTGAAAATTATGCAATTTCGAGAGTTTCGAAAGTGTTCTCTATTTTTTGTTGAGTAGTATATACAGAATGTTTATAAATGTATAAAATTGTAAATACACGAATTATAACAGTAAGAAATAAACAATTTCACGAAATAGAATTAAAGTACTAAAATGCGTCGTTACGTTCCTGTCCAGTAAAAGTATTGAAAAACGTAATTATATGTACATGTATATGTATACACATGGAATCTGTAATTAATAGTACATATATTACAATAATATTAAACCGTGATGAATATAAATTCAATATTTATATGTATATGTATGATATACATATAAATTGTACTTTAAAATATGGCGTGTAACGAAATTGAAACAAATTTTCGCCGATTTTTGCACATTTAATCTAAATTTTCTCGAAAACCTGACGTGTTAGGCCAATTTCGCAGCCAGATTCATTTTCAGCAAACAAAAATTTATCGCAAAACACTTCATTTATCCCCAAAAAAGTCTAGTTTTGTATGCCTAACTGTGCAATCAATGTTGTAATATATGGAAATTACAACTCCAATACGATTCGAATGATTCTGACTTGTAATGCGATTTCAATTCACAGCGATACGCGAGCTTTACGGTTCACCATCGTGAAAACGCAGAGCGTATCACATCGCAATATATCGCATTGCATCGTTATTTCCCGCGTATTAACGAATGCCATTCATTCCTCCCGTAACGTTAGCGGAAGAAACGGATACGGGAGGGGCCGCGCCGCGTCTCTTTCTCCTCTCGATATAGGGAAGACGCCGTGTGGTTAGGGAGAGTAGAGAGAGGAGTGGCGAACCAATAGCCGTTTTGTTTAGCGAATCGCCGCGATATCCGAAGCACAATGCGCGATATCCAAGCCACTTGTTCCGGGAATACATTGTTTCCGTTCTTCAGCGTTCTGCTCGCGTATGGAAATACAGTAATCACTTAAAGCGGATCTGCAACGACTATCGTCATCGGCGTAAGCGTGGCAGAAAAAGGCCCGCATTGTATGCAATCTCGTATATAGGCATTCTCATCACGATTCTTCGCAATTAGTTTCTTTTTTTCAGAAACTCGTTTAATGACTTTCGCTAACAATTGAATTCTACTTCATGCTGAAATTTATTAGATGAATCTTAAATGTAAAAACGATTGAATTTTTAAATTACTGATATTTACTTATCTTTATCATCTAAGATAATGGTGTTCTGAAGTTGTTAAAATGAAAATTACACGCGATTTTATTTAAAAACAGGCATGTTTTAGGAACACCAATTTAATAACTTTAAGCAAAATTAACATTACAGTTTTATGATCTGTAAGTAAAATAATATAATTCACTTATCGTATTAATAATTTATGTCGACAGATGACAGTGAAATTTTGCAATTTTCCAAATGATTGAAACGACGATTTAAGTTAATAATTAACAATCGTATAATACTATTCTTGATTATTCAATTACAATATCTCAATAATTATATTTTTACATTTAAATATATTTACCAATTTTTATAAATTGTATCTCAAATCTTTATTTGATTATTCTGAAAAGTAGCAAAAATATAATATATATATAGAGATACCTAAACAACGAAAGACGATTTTTTAAAGTGATTTTCGCAGAAAATCGAGAATAAACGTTTACTCTGAAATCGTAATAAATACCGAGAGAGGAAAGAGATGCGAATAAGGGAAGCAGAAGGGTTGAACTCGAGGAGAAAAACGGCAAAGAGCGAGAGGCAGGGAGGCGATGATCGATCGAGGAGTTGAGGGGAAGGGAGATCGACATTTTAAATGGATAGGCAACGGCTGCGTGTGTCGGCCAGCCTAATGAGTAAGAAATCAACCGGAAATCTTCCTGATAAGACTCAGGATGTTTGTGGTTAAGAAATTCCTCGTAGAGGAAATTTACTGCCTGTTTTCTTCTTTCGCGCAATATCCGACGATATCACGTCGAATTAAATTTATTCCAATTGAAATATCTGCAATGTCGTATAAAGATATTTCAATTGGAGTCAATTTAATTTGACAAAATGAGATCTTTTCATAAATTATTTTAGATTTTTGTGTTCAATGTGTGTGTGTGTGTGTAATCGCAAAGTGTAGGTGTTATACCAAAATATTGGATAATTTTTTTATATCAGTCTTTACTTTTTGCAAGAAATATGTGTATATTGTACTTTCGAGTCTTAAAAAAATTAACGATTACTTTCAAACACACATTATTGTGTGTATATACATCATATATTATACTCAAAAAGAAATAAATAATAAAGCAAAGCAAACTTTTTAATATCTATCATCGGACATAAGTATCTCGCATATTTGCATCAAGAGTCTTCAATAACTTTCTAAGATGAAAATATTCCGTTCTTATAGTAATTTGAAAACATAGAGAGGATTCACTTTCATATAAAATTAACGGGAAGGATTGATGAAAGAGGATTAGGTATAGCGGTCCCTTCAAATTGCCGCGGAAGAGTTCACCTCTTTACGTCCGTGGCCGGTGGCGGTACGCTGTGACGCGCGCTACCACCCCGTCCCTCTACCCTCCCGCCCGCCCCGCCGGTTTTCCGCGTTCCTTTCCGCCACTCCCGTCGCTGCTACACCTCTTTCCGCGGTGTAATGAATCCAGTTTGTTGAACTCCACTGCCTTCTCCGGCCTCATCGCCGCGCTGTCGGCTTTTCCCGACCTAACCATCCTAACCAGAGCATCCATCCCAACCATATATACTCCATCCGTCCGTCCGTCCGCACCAGTATAACCGCGCTACGTGAACTACTGTGCTTTTCGGTGCCACCCCCGCCCCCACGCACAACCACGGAGCTACGCCGCGCGCACCCGATGCCCGTAATTACATCGAGTTTCCCTTGACGATGGGGATGGGAGAACGAGAAGGGAGTGTGCAAAGGTAGAGGTTCTAATTAATCAGCTAGCCGCAACGCGCGCGAATCGCACACGTAACGGCACGCCTATAGGTTGACCGTCGACCAAAGTACCGTGAACGAGGGAGAGTAGCGAGGCCTTCCTCCCAACAACTCGCTCTGTCCCCCGGGCTTGTCCGCTCGGCGTTGTTAACTTTTAGACGCGTTTACTCAAGTGTGTAGCATAATTAGTCGTGTGTACGATTTGTACTATGAAGTTGAATTGAGGTTATTCTCGAATTTGCGTTTTATTACTGACGGAACACGATATAATAAACAGAAAAATAAGGAAAAAGAAATAAAAGAGCCTTACAATGAGCTATTGTTCGCAAAATAAAGCAGGAAGGAAGAGCGATTTTACACACACGTTATTATTCTTAAAAATGTATTCTCCTAATTTTTATCACCGAGCCATAATAGTTTTAATTAATAAATAAATATCGTATTGCAATAAAAATAAGAGAGAATCGGATTTGAGGCCTAAATTTATGTAAAGAAAAGTTAACCAGCTCATCGCTCGTGAAACGGGGGAAAATTGATGTTCTTTGTTGTCGTTTTAAATATTCCCCGGCAGCCTTTCAGCGGCGAATCTTCATCGCCCCTTCAGAACGAGAGAGCAAGAAAATAAGAGAGAGGGAGGGAGCGTTTCGGGCAACATTGGTTTTAGGCAATAATTACTCGGCGGAAACCACTAAGCAGAGAATACAGGACCGGAGGTTTCGCTTCGGCCACAGCTGCAGCAGCGTCGTGCTAATGAATCTATTTTGCCCGCTCTCTATATATTGGTTCTCTTATAGTCTCTTCCCCCCTTCTCTCTCATTCTCTTTCTCGAAATTTGCGTGCTTTGCTTACAATAACTATACCTATACTTCTGTTTTATTTCATTTTTATTTTTATATTCTTAATTTCTATTATTTTTATTTCTATATTTTGTTTCTCACTGCTCGAATTATTATTGCGCGCGCGTAATGTTATCAAAATTGTTATTCAAATTATATTAAATAAGCTGTAATGCAGAAAGTTGATTTTAAGTTTGCAGAATGTACTCATTCAATATTGATGAAGAAAACGTTGATATATTTTTGAAGTTTGTTATATTTTCACTTTCGATTGATTTTCAGACGTATTAATAAAAATTGCAGAAGATTATTTTAAAAAAGCACAGCAAAAGAAATTAAATATTTCACATGTGCTATGTTTTAACTTTATTGTAGGAATAATATTGTATTACATTAAAAAATACATATCTATACATAGATACTATAGTTTTAGTATTATATGAGATTTACTAATTGTAATTTTCTATTATAATTATTTAATAAAATTAATTGATATTAATTTTATTGATGTGTTTTTTAATTCTATAAGTTTCTTAAATATTTTTATCATCAAAGAATAAAATTTTATATATACATATCGAAATGTATATTTAAATTTAAAAAGAATTAAATAAGAAAACGTATTATGTATAATTCTTTAAAAAATTATTTTAGAATGTTGCATATGAGGAACGCGTTGTCAGAAATATATATTACATTATTCTATCTTTATTAAGCTTAGGGCCTCTTTCACCAATTCCGATTAATTAATGCTAATCGATAGTTAACTTAGTCATCACGATTGCCAACGTGAGAACTAAACAAGTTTATCTCGAAAGAGGATGAGAGAGAAGACGTATTTACTGATATATTAAACTTCTGTTGGCATTTTTGCGAGTTAATCGTCCATTAATTTAATCAGAAGTTGATGAAAGAGGCTATTAAAACAAAGATAGAGTGACGCAATAGTTATGCTTTGATAGTATGTTCCACAAAAAAAAATAAAATGATTAAAAAGTTGGCATTAAACGACGCCATTAAAATTAGTTCACCCCTATGTCTACGGGTGGCACTGGTTCTAATGTCCTTGTATATATCACATATTGAGTTTGTAGACCCCTGGGTTCAAGAAGTAAATATAACGGCAAAATATACTTTTTGATTCAACATGAATAGTGATTATTATTCCACCGTATATACATGGTAAGTATATAAAACAGTCTACACAATGTCATATTCGGTTTTGTGGTAAAATAAAAAATTTTTGTTGAGGTTTTCTACTTCCATTTTTCAAAATGTTTACGTTGAGGATTCTCACAATAGTTTAAAATGGTGTATAAGTCACAGTTTATGTAGCTCTAACTTATAATGTGAATGAATCTATATTTTCATTTATTATTGCATCCAGTAAGGCAGCTACTGTATCTTCATAGGTTTGAAAAGTGTGGGATTGTATCTAATATCAGGACACATCTGCGGCAGAACTTGGTGAACGCTTTGAAGCGCAAGGATCTGAGGCTGTGTAAGAATATAGAGGCAAGATCAGCGAAACAGTACGTTTATGATATGTTAATAGCCGAGTATCTGTTTAGTCACAATTACTCCTTCACCCTGTCGATATTTGCTAGCGAAGTTCCACTTTTAGTAAACTTTTGCAATAGTGCGCCACAGTGTTCCTTTGACAAGGATGACAGAGGCGGTGGCAGTGGGCATAATAAGTTGCAAAGTGATTATATAGCACACACTCTGGAAACTTTAGGTATTCATCCTAACAGTTCCGAAGGCCAATATATTATATCAAATTATATGAATAGTGAAACACCATTATTATTATCCATCCTGAGCTCAATAGCCTCGCTTGTTGCTAACACTCAGTCATCAACTGCAAGGACTATGTATGACAGAGAGACACAAGCTAATTTAACTTTGGAAGCAAATCTTTTAGACACAACAAAAATAGAGGCAATGAGGAAAAAAATTATGCAACAGAAACAACTATATGATGACGAGTTAAAGACAAAGGAAAGCAAATTGAAGCAGCAAGCCACAGTTATAAAGCATCAACTTGGTTCATTGAATGCAAAAGTGGAAGAAGCTCAGGTAATGTCCTTAACCACTTGTATGTTTTGTACAATATGTTTTATTAACCTTTGAAGTATTGGAGGCCTCTTTAAGAATTCAACAGTGATGCTATCCTTTTCATCACTCAATATCATGGGTGATATTGACAAAAAAGTTCTAGTCCTTAAAATAAAAAAGTCAATCAAAAACACGTCAGTCCTTAAAAGGTTAATTATTATTGCATGAATTATTTCTTAATAATAAATTTTATAGTGGATAAAGGATTCTTTTTTTATTATTAAAGGTCAACATATAAGTTTTCATTTAGAAAAAATCAAATTCTGAGGAAATAATTTAAATATTGTATATTACTTTGGATGCTTCCCAACAAGAGACATAGATGACAATGTAATACAGTGAAATATTTTATTGTTATATTTAATATTGTTAAACAAATATAATAGTTTATTGTATTATCTGTGTCTCTTGCTGAAAAGCATTCTTTATTTTACACACATATATATGTTTGCTTTTCTTTCTGTATATAGAATTTAATGCAATCTTTAACCCTGAAAGAAAAAGAACTGAATGAAAAGAAAAACAGCAATGCACAATGTATCCTGCAAAAGGAAATGGAACTATCCATGAAACAAAATTTCTTAACACAAGAAGCTAATAGGTATTTAATGAAAGCAAGAAAACAGATCATTTTTAGAAATATTAGAAGTATTTAGTAGGCAATTAAACAATAACAATTCTTAATTTTTATAATTTTTTTATTCTAGTTTTTTATTTTACTCATATACTTTTATCTCTTAAATCTTTTTATTTAAAATAAATTAAAGTAACTTTTGTGTAGATTGCAGAGAGAACGAGATAGTTACAAGAAATTCGAGAATGGCTTGAAGAAACTGCAACGAGAGCTCGTTAAAATGCAAAAGGAAATGTCACAAGGTACATCAAATCAATGCGCTCAAAGCAATTTCAGGGATATTCATGTACAAACTGATAGGGAGAGTCGTACCATAATGGACAAATGCAGAATTCTACAAAGGGAAAAATTGAAGCTAACAAATCTCGTGGAAGTGCAACGATCAATGATAGAACAGATTACGCAGCGCAGCGTCCAGTTATCACACCAATTGGAGGAAATTCGTTTATTACAACCGATCAAAACGCCCGTTTCTGTGACTCAAATTACCACCGCAATTGTCAGTGAGAATAGTTCTACCGACGATATTCTTCAGGACGCTAAGACGCGGCTAAAGCGGTTGGAAGAAGAGAGTTCCAAAGCCGATCAGTATTTCTGTACTTTCGTCAACACCTCTTCGTAGCAAATAAGACATTCCAAAATATTATTTATTATCGTTATCGCATGCACAATAATCAAGCTTGCAAATTACACTTGACGCACATGCAAAGGTTATGGTTTCTTCAGTCTTAAAAGACTGAATTAAAACATACATTAAAAAGTATTGGACATTTAGATTTATTAATTTTAATTTATTTTATGAAATTGGATGTTAAAACATAATATACAAATTACCGATTATCCTTTTGCTTTATTTTGAATTCTACATTCATTACATGCAACATCAAACATAGCATAGAAAATGTTAAGTCGAGCTCCTTTCAGTTGTACATCATCTTCGTTTTGGATCTGAACTCCTTCTAGTGCACTTGAATTAAGGATCATACTAAACACTTGTACTTTTTGTACATAGGATAAATCAAACAGTTATTGAGCAGTTAAGGATTTAAAAAAAAAATAAAAATTATAGTTATAAAAAACAATATATTTTGTGTTAGAAAATTTAAGACATAAATGTTACAAATTTCATAAAATAAAATACTATAACAAATATGTTTGAGTAATGTTATTAAGTGTTAAATATTACTGTCATACGTTCATTTATAAAAAAAATATACAATTCATGAATATCATTTTTATATTCGCTGACTACGTCAATAGACATACTAGCAAAATTTATTTATTAAAATAAAAAAATATATAAAAAAACTATTACCTTACTCAATAATTGTACGATTCATTCTGTGTAAATAGTACATAAGCTATTTTAATACTTAATTAGCTACAATATACTGCCATATCATGCTAAGTATTACAAATATTTTGTAACATTATTCTACTACATCAAGAATATTATGTAACATTATTGTATAAAATCAAATAGTTGTAAATAAAGAAAACATTATTTGTAATAATAACAAGAATAATATTTATACTTAGTTAAATTTTGGTGTATAAAAAAGGATATTGTTTATCACGGCTTTCGCGTCCTTCGCGTTCATGAGGACGATCCTTTGTGTATGGAGATTTTTCCTGAAAATATATTCTTGAGTAAGTCTCCGGAATGCCATGATTTCTTGTGACTGATAAGAGGAAGGGGGAAGGGACAATTTTCATCTATACTTTCTTGTCTTTTTTGCTATTGTCGTCCATTTCGTCCTTTTAATGTACTCGAAGTAGACATCTTTATCAACTATGAAGTAATAGAAAATTATTAAGAAAATAATTTGATTTTTTGTTTAACAAAAGCCAGCACTACAAAATATAATTACAATTTCTATGTCAGAAATCTTATGATGTACAATGTATAACAAATTTTACTAAAGTAAAACAATTATAAATATGTGTATTTCACAACATGTAGAATTACAAATATATATATATATATATAATATTTTTCTACATGTTTAAAAAATTTTCAAATATATTAGCATTTACTAAACGTTTTCATATAGTTGGCCATTTGCATATGCTACATTTCGTATAACTAAGGATTTCTATTCCATGTAGCTTATGTATCTCAAAAAATAATGTAGTAAACGATATAGTGAATGTTAAAGCACATTATATAAAATAATTAAAAATTACATATGTATAAAATAATAAAAATTGTATATGTATCCTAAAATAAGAATTCAGAAAAATGAAATTAAATTGGATCGCAGATATTATTCGAGATCTTTTTCTCTAGTTCTCTATCATCTCTATTGATAACCAAACTCGGACGATACCATTAAAATCACACTTTTAATTGAAAATCGAGTATTGAGTTTTACATACATTATAAACTATTAAATCGTAAAATTAGTACTACATTATCAATTTTTTATTTTTTGGGTTTCTTTCCCTAGAAAGGTTAAGCTAACCGATTGTTATACGAGTCCGCTGAACACGCTCCATGTAATCTCACCGAAGTTTATTGAAAGAAACTCTTAACCGAGGTTCAATTTTTGTTTTACATCTCATTCCAATTTTAAAATTAGAAAGAGATAAGGAATAAGCTAACTATAAGTTGTAAAACTGGGCCTTAATCACTTAAATTTTATAATAAATCACGCAAACTTCCGTAAGACCGGCCGTCTTTAATAGTATCGTCGGTGGCAGCAGTTAAAGGGACAGAGTTAGCAGTCTAGTGTAATATGGCTTGCGTTCCGTGTAGTTGCATGCATAATGCGCACGATGTATCATTTTATCCTTGTTTAACATTCTGCGAACAACAAAGATAAAATGATACTTTATTTGTGCAACGAATCGCAGCCATAGAAGTTTATGAAATTCCTTATAAAGCTGGGCATAATGAAAAGAATAGGAAACAGAGAATAAGAATTTCAACCTACGAAAAACCACGTACTGTAGAAATCACATTTCTGATGATTGAAATTTTTGTTCTCTGTTCCTTATTCCTTTCATTGTGCACAGCCCTAAAGCTCCTAAGTACTCACTTCAACCATATTGAATTGTGACGTTATAAGTGAGAAATATGTCATAAGCGACACGTTGATTTTCCTTGCGTGTCATTAATAAATGAAGACAATTGGATAAAATGGAACGAGATCGCAGTAAAACATTTGTAAAAATTGGCCGAGACTATCACTATCCCTATTAATAGTTAGTAAAGATAAAGTGCGTTTACTAGTTTTTACTCAATAACGCACGCATAGTCTATTTTCATTTCACAAACGTTTTTTAATTATTTGCTGTTAGGAAAGATAAGGATAGTCTTAGCCTATTTTTACAAATATTTTACAGCGATCTCATTATTCCGTTTTATCCAAATTGTTTTTTACAAATAGCATGCAAGAAAAATCAACGTGTCATTTCTCGTTTATGATATTATGATTCAATATGACTGAGATGAGTACTCAGGGTAGTACTATTAATCTCAAAATAACATAAAAAATACTGCTAAAATATTACTAACCTTACTGTAATGATGCTTTTCTCTATGTTCAGGAATGTCACCGTTTTGATGCATATTTTTGGCTATAACAAGTGCAAAGTAATATATATATTTCAATTATAAATATTCGTTGATAAGTCCATATTTTTTGTAATCACAATGAAAATGCATTTACAAACCTCTTTCATCATCTTTTCTCCGTTTTTGCTCAGTAGTTGCTATGGATTCCTCTGTCCGATCCTATCAATTGATCAATTAGTTGTTTAGTACGTAATTTAATATATTTTTTTAATTGCGTATATATGATTGTACGCGATAATTAAATAGAAGTATCATTACCCTTTTTCGTCCCTGTTTCTTTTCTCTACGCAGTTCTTTCTGTTCGTCACGTGCTTTTCCTTTACTGGAACGTTCTTTCTTTTCAAGCACAGCATCTGCGCGTCTTGCTTCCTGCTGAATATAAAAATATTTATGCAAAGAGAAAAAGTGAAAAAAGATAAAAACACTTAATATAAAATATATGTAGATACCTTCTGGGCGCTCTCTATTTTTCTTCTTTTTACATCTGAAACTGAATAAAAATTTATATTAAAACAGATAGGAGGAATAAGAAATGTTTTTCAAAAATATTTATAATAGTATATTATATACAATTTGATATCATTTTTACAAAAACTTTAATGTACGTATTATATAATTAATCTAATATATATTTAATATTTTCATCGAAAACTCGTAATAGCGCGCGATTCAGGAGTCTGAACACTATAATGAGATTATCCGTACTTCACTTAAACCAATGAAATTCAAAATTTTAATGACTACTGCTATTTCCCACTCCTGCTGCTCATAGCGCGGAAGAAAAAATTGCACGCTATTTTGAGGTTCTAGTATAATTTGATTATATTGTAGTACAAACCTCTTTCAGGACCTTCTTGTATGGGACCCGAACTAGCACTGCTATTTGACACACTTGAAAGATCTCGGTCTAAATTGTCTACACTACTGCTATAATAGTGCTCTTCCTAAAATATAAAATTTTCACTTGCATGTATAATTGTGATATATCAATGTATAATATTCATGTATCATTACAGTATATTAATAGTTTTTTATTCCAAATATCGATTATGAGACAAAAATTATGAGATAATAACATACACATAATTTAGAAATTTCAGTTACCACGACATAGTACACAAAATTTTTTAATACTAATTTTATATAAAACTTTTATACTTAATGAAACTTTTTGTTTAAAATTACATTTTCTATTAAATTACAATCTATTTTTTTTTCGTTTTGATAAACTTTACGTAAAAAACAAAATTTTAACATAATTGTTACCTTGTAATATTTGCGATCCTTTTTATCTAATCCCTCATCATCTTTTATTTCATCTTTTTTAACATATTTTTCTTTTATTTCTGAAATATCTTTACTGTCTTCTTTCTTTCTAAACTTTTCGGAGGTTTCACTACTTAAAGAATTAATATCGAATTAATAAAAGATTTTTAATACATAAATTTTAAAATTAATTATTATGTCCTTATACCTTTTATTAAATTATCATATAATTTATTTAAAAAATATATAAAAATGAAAAAGATATAAGTTCTAACAAGTAATTTCAATAATACGATGTAGGGTAAATGTATATAAATGTTTTAAAATTTATTGCTCACTGATGCGTTTGACTGGAGGAACTTCGTTTTTCTCGTTGCTCCTTGTTTTCTTTTCCCGGCCGAGTGTCTCCATTATTATTTTCTTTTACCGTTACTCCATTGCTGACCTTTTCACTCGGTTCATTATTCGTTGCGTCTTGTGTCTTGGCAGCCTATACAAATGAATATAATAATATTTTCTCTCAAACACTTTTGAAATGTATCTTTTTGGTTTATAAAAATTTATATTGATTTTATATATATAAATTGTTTTATTACCTTATCGCCTACATGGTGAAAATCTGATTCACGGATCATACTGGGAGTTTTAGCTTTCAGCTGTCCACTATAAGATGTAGCTAGGACGTGCAAATCTTGACGTTGGCCACGTTCTTCCTCTCTTACTTTCTCTACTTTACGTTCGAGGATCTGAGAGAGTTTCGCCAGGACAGGAAAATGAGGCAATATTTTGATCAATATTATCAAAGAATTCCTTATTTGCACATAATCCTTAGAATCTAGACACACTACAATAGCCTATCAAAGAAAATTAATTAATTTAATCACAAGAATTTATTTTCGGTATTATGTATATAGTACATCACATATATATTCAAATATATGTATGTAATATAGAATATTATTCA